GGACAGCCTTCGGGACAGGTGTGGCCATTAGTGCACCTGGAAAAACAAGCAAGTTCTATTCCAACTTCTAAGTTATATATGAGATATGCCGCCTGTGGATGGATTGGAAAACCATACGCCCTGAGATAGAACTGAACCATCATTGAACTGACTACCGGTAGCCCCAGGTAATTTAGATTTTTTTTTTTAAAATAGGTCCTTATGGTCTTGGATCCATGTCCATTCCGGGGAGCGTTAATCCGGTTCCTATTTAGAATCTGAGTGCATCTGGATTCGAACTTGTGTCCGTATTTCAACAGCTCATGGGTGTACCCACTGGGCTAGGTCCGTTGGTACTGAACCTTTTGGTCTGTATTTTCAACAGCGATGTTGACCATAAGGCCTGCTCTAAAAGGGGTGGGGTGGGGGTGGGGAACCAGTCAAGTTGGTGCACGGTGCACCCATGTTGGTACACCCATGAGCAGGTCTTGTGCTCATGGGTGTGACCATAAGGCATGCTCTAAACGGGAGGAAAAGAACGACATGAGGAAACGCACACCTCCCATAAGGCATATTAGCTCATTGACATCCGAGTCAACCACTCTTTTTTGCAGACCCTATTGAAATATTGAAATAATTGAACAGAATTTGAATCCGTCAAAGCCAAGGACTACACGCTTCTATTCTTCTATATCAAATCTGACATCATCCACATCGAGTGCACAACCGCGAATCACAGAATCAGTTCATTTGACCCATCAAATGGGGTAAGAACCGTAAAATACCTTTTCAAGTTTTGAAGTTAATTTGACCCGTCAAAGTCAACGGTTACAAGGAAAATAATTGAAAGGAAAGGAATGTTGTTCAAGTTCAAGCAAGGGAAGTTAGGGAACCCATTTTTTTCGGGCGGTTCTTCTGTTCTTTCCCCCTTTTCTACATGGGGTAAAAATTTACAGCCCTTTCTAAAAGTTCAATCAGAAATCTGGAAGCAGAACAGCGTGTTTGACCGTACAATTTCATGGCCAAGAGGAGAACGTGCAATTCGTACCTCATACATACTTTGCGTCGATGATGGCCGCTGCTGAGATTCTGCAACCACTCGAGCGGTAGGAGCTGTAGATTGCTCCGTTGCTGTATGTTTCGACCGTATCTTTGGGACAACCCATCTACAGCAGTGCAGCAGCACAATAATCTCTATGAATAGAAGGCCAAAAGCTCCCCACACAAAGCTCGTTATCCTGCCACATGACGTTGATGGAAAGGACGGCACATCGGTTTTTGGTTGAGAAGAAGAGCACGAAACTGCAGCTCGCAAGGTTAAGCCCGCAGGTTGGCTTGAGCTGACAGTGCTGCCAGGTGTTAGCATGCTTCCATGCCAGGATTCTTCTCCGAGACTCCGGGGCAAGCAGAGCACCAGGAACACANGAGAGAGAGAGAGAGAGAGAGAGAGAGAGAGAGAGAGAGAGAGAGAGAGAGAGAGAGAGAGAATGACATAAAAATTATCGACTCATAGTCATTCTTTAACGTGATTCATGGTGTCCGACTGAAGAGGTCATCTATCATGGAAAGGACACAGACAGACAGACAGATGGACGAACGAATGGACAGACGGAAGGAAAACATTAGAGAAACATACCAAGCTCTGCAAGGTGCCAAACTGTACGTAACTTTTGACGATGACTACCATGGAACTGCTCTCATATTAACTCGTAATAGCAAACGCTTGGAACAGGAATCATGCCCCAAGGTTTGCCCCACACTAATGAGCAAGGTTAGGAGACACAGAGGGCCACAGGCCAACCTTTGTGAGGCCTGCTGATAGACATAGTACATACAGTGCAAAAGGTATTTTACCCCCCATGTAGAAAAGGGGGAAAGAAAAGAAGAACCGCCCAAAGAAAATGGGTTCCCTTGCTTGAACAACATTCCTTTCATTTCATGTCTTTTCCTTCCATCTCCCAACCAACGGAGGAAGTGAATGGATTCGCTTCTTGCTTCAAAAGTAGCCTTGAAAGTTTCGCCAAAACTTCCCCAAAAGTTTTATGACTAAATCAAACAAAATCCACAAAACTAACAGCTACTGGATAGCAGCAGCCTAGCTCAGTTGGTTAGGCACGCAATCAGCATTCAGGAGGTCATGGGTTTGATCCGCACTAACCGCCTAGAGCATGCTTGGTGGCTACCAACTAAAAATAGCCTGTTGCMCCCCCCCTTCCCCCCCCTCCCCTCCCCCCCCCCAAAGTCAGGATAGGTACGAGTCTCAAGGCAACAGAGTTGGCTTGTGACAATGCTGATGTTCGATGGGGAGGAGGGGGAAATAGATGGGGGCTTACTCAGCTCAGCGACTCGCGCAACACGCTCGGCAGAGTCAGCATTAGCGCCACCGCTAGGGCCCCGCCAATGTCACCTCGCCTGAGCCCCATTGGGCGGGGGCGGCATGGCTGCTGGGATTCCATAGTAGGATACATTGCAGTGTTGCCCTCGTTGACTGGGCCGTAAAAAAATCGAAGTCGAGTATTGATAAGGAGAATGCTGGCAAAAAAAAAAAAAAAAAAAAAAAAACTGAAGACGATGTTGGCACCAGGAAATTATGAGAGAATAGAGAAGAGATAGGTTTGAAGGATGGTAGGAACTTGGAAGGGGCTAACAACTGGCACATACCTCCAGCGATGAACAAAGGCAAGGAATCCGCGAGGAGTCGTATCAACGATCACATCCGCTGCATACACTTCCGGCAAGCCCGATTTCAGCGGCATTCCTGCCCTTGCGTCCAACATCACACGAATTACGGTGACGGGAACCTTGCGTTCTACGTACCCCCTTATCACATGAAGTTTTATTTCCTGATACAGACGGAGACCAAGTCCGCAGCATGCATAGTTTCAGGAAAAAGTGGACACACCTGGTCAAAGTCTGATCAAAATCTTCTTAACGAAATCTGGTCAAAAGCTGATCAAAAGCTGGTCAAAAGCTGGTCAAAAGCTGGTCAAAAGCTGGTCAAAAGCTGGTCAAAAGCTGGTCAAAAGCTGGTCAAAAGCTGGTCAGCATATGGTCAAATTTGGTCAATTTTTGGTCAATTTTTGTTAACATACGGTGAAGGAACTGGTTAAATATGGTCAAACAAACTATGGTCAAAATCTGGCCAAACTCTGGGTAAAGTGTGTAAGTAAAACTCTGGTCGCACTTTGGTCAAAGTGTCCAGTCGTTACCAACTTACCATTAAAATAACACAAGTTAAGAGGATGTTCGCTAGTGGATCTGCGCTGTAGGAGCATTGCTTTAAAATCTTTGGGCTTTTTTCAATTTCTCAGCTTTCCTTCCCCTGGTACAGATCTTGAAGTACCAACAGACAGTTAATTAAAATCAAGAATCACGTTCAATTAACCACTGCGGTAGAGTGGGTCCCTGTCTCTTAAGTTCAGGCGCCATATGATAATTTGGACCATTTCTTGATTTATGCGTGTCATCCTAAATTGCACAGGGGCCATACATGCTAATCTTCATTCTCTGTATCGTTCCAATGTTAAATGATGTCCCGAAGGACATAATGTAATGTACACTTGCTACACTACTGAACCGTCTTTCGGGATATCATTAAAATAATAAAATTAGAATGATACATAGAAGATCAGCGTGCACAAAGATAACTCTCACAAAATGAGAAACGGTCCAAATTATAAACAAAACAAAGGAAGAAGAAGAAGAAGAAGAAGAAGAAGAAGAAGAAGAAGAAGAAGAAGAGGAAGAAGAAGAAGAAGAAGAAACTCACATGGAAGCTCAAACTTTGAAGAAGACTGTTAACCGCCTCCTGCCTGCCCCACCTCCCGACTCGACCGCTACTTGTATCAACTAAAGACTAGTACATAAAAAAATAAGAAAAAAAGTTAAAAAAACTACTAAAATAATAAAAATATCATTCTAGTGTATACTGAAAGGAGACCACCATGCATGGCGCACTCAGATACGAGTTCCACGTATCACGGTTGGCAAAAAAACATCTGAGGTGTGCAAGACTAATCCCCCCCACATCCCCTTCCTCCCTTCAAGAGACACATCAGTGTGTAAGGGTATGTTTAGCATTAGCAACTTAGCACGTATAGCTTCTCGTGTGCAATACTTTTTTTTTCTTTTTTTTTCTTTTTACTTCTCAGGGCGTTTGAAGGCATATCTTCTCATGTGTAAATACTAAATAGTAAATACTAAATACTGAAAGGGTTCACGAATCTCAGCACCCCAGTTTCAGTCTCCAGTCCCGTATCCCAGGTCCCAGTCGCAGTCGCAGGTCCAGTCCCGGGTCCCAGGTCCCAGAACCTAGTCCCAAGTCCCATCCCGTGTTCCATTAGTGCTTCCAGCCCCCTCTTGTACAGTATTCACGGACACTCCAGCAGAGTAGTTTTCATTTTGCATGATTATGGATACCTAAGCAGGTTAGTTAAAAAGATCATGGTTGGAAGTCCCTGTTAGATAAGAGTTATGGGTGAAAGAGTCTATTTCTAGAAGGTACCACAAACCTCAGCCCAGATCACAAGGTCGTTACTGACTCGTTAGGCGAGGTGTCAGTCAGTCCGACCAAGCAGCCACGTCGAAGGAGAATCCGTAAGCTTCCAGAAGCAGCAAACAAGGAAAAGGTAGCCAACCCATAACTGGCAGAAACTGCCTGGAAGGTGAACCAGCAAGTATAAACGTTCAGCAGCACCTGGACATCAACACAGTGTGTTAGGCACTAAATGCAGAAGTGCTACTGTGGTCTTGTGCGTTGGAGAAGCGACCAAGTCAGTGGGAGTGAGCATAGTGCAGTGTTGTCAATGTCTTTGGCCGCCATAGCCACGGTTTTGTAGTGTGTGTGTGTGTGTGTGTGTGTGTGTGTGTGTGTGTGTGTGTGTGTGAGAGAGAGAGAGAGAGAGAGAGAGAGAGAGAGA